GGGGAGGAAGGAGGTGGGGGGTTGACAAGTTTTTAAAAGGGTTTATTTCAGCAGCCAGTCCGCTGAGGGGAGGGGTTAGAGGAGGAAGAAGAAGAAGAGGAAGAAGAAGAAGAAGAAGAAGCAGAAAAAGAAGAAAGCAGAAGACGACGAAGAAAGGAGAAGAAGAAAAATCAAACTAAGACCGACGAGGAGGAGGAGGAGGAGGAGGAGAGAAGGACAAGACAAAAGGAGGAGGCCGAGGAGGAGGAGGAGGAGGAGGAGGAGGAAGACCTACTGGTAGTGTATGTGGATGACGGAAAAAAAAAGACAATGACGGAGGTCGAGGAGGAGGAAGAGGAGGGGGAGAGAAGGAGAAGAATTAGGAGGAGAGAAGAAGAAGACGAGAGGAAAGAGGAGGAGAGAAGGACAAGACAGAAGGAGGAGGAGGAGGAGAGAAGAAGAAGAAGACGAGAGGAGGAAAAGGAGTAAGAGGAGGAGGACATGCCGGTAATGTATGTGGATGCCAAAAAAAAAAAAAAAGACGACGAGGAAGGAGGTCGAGGAGGGGAAGAGAACGAGACGAATAAGTAGGTGGAGGAGGAGGAGAGAAGAAGAAGAAGAGAGGAGGAGAAGGAGGAGAGAAGGAGAAGAAGACGAGAGGAGGAGGACCTGCCAGTACTGTATGTGGATGACGAAAAACAAAAGACGATGATGAACGAGGTTGAGGAGGAGGAGGAGGAGGAGGAGAGGAGAAGAATAAGTAGGTGGAGGAGAGAAGAGGAGGAGGAGGAGGAGGAGGAGGACAAGAAAGGAGGGGGACAAGACGAAAGGAGGAGGAGGAGAAGAAGAAGAGAGCAGGAGGTGAAGAAGGAGGAGAGAAGAAGAAGATGAGAGCAGGAGGAGAAGGAGGACCTGCCGGTACTGTATGGGGACGACGGAAGACAAAAAAAAGGACGATGGAGAACGGGGAGGAGGAGATAACGAGAAGGCAAAAGTAGGTGGAGGAGGAGAAGGAGAGAAGAACAAGAAGACGAGAGGAGGAGGAGAAGGACAAGGCGAAAGGAGGAGGAGGAGAGAAGAAGAAGACGAGACGAGGAGGAGGAGGAGGAAGAGGACCTGCGGGTTTTGTATGGCGATGACGAAAAATAAAATAAAATAGAGGACAAGGGGGGGAGTAGGAGAGAGAGAGAGAGAGAGAGAGAGAGAGAGAGATAGGAATCCCACCCGTCAGTAGGTTAACTAGCGGCGGGATTTCACCGCAGCTCGCCTATCCCAACACGTGGCGCTTTTCAGCGCACTGATGTGGCAACGTGGCACTTCGCCGGATAAACAAATCCAATAAAATCGGGACGACGAAGAGGAGAAGGAGACGGAAGGAAGAGGAGGAGAAGAAGAAAGGAGGAGGAGGAAGAGGAGGAGGAGAAAGGAGGAGGGAGGAGGACCTGCCGGATAAACAATTTGAAACATTGCCAGAACGCCAAGTCTCGCACACTCGGTACACCCTAGAAAGCACTGTCGCCAAGAAGCAAGCTGAAGCTCAAAACCACTCAGCCACAAGAGTGGGCCACCGTGTGCACCCACACTAGGAAGAGCCTAGAGAGCACCTTCCCTGAGAAGTACAACAAAGCTCGAAACCACTCGGCCACAAGCATGGCCCAGGGTGTACACCACACCACCACCTCAATCTTCCTTATCGTCTCGCTCCGGTGCAAACAACTCTGTAAACTGGCATCGTACTCAGTCTTCCAAGAGCTACCTGAATGATCCGTAAAGCGCATCACCTCTCTTCCGTCATTTGCTCGAACTCCCCATATCTTTCCATATTACCTTCTTTTCACTCAGATGGCTCGCATCACCTCTCTACCGTCATTTGCTCAAACTCCCCATATCTTTCCATATTACCTTCTTTCCGCTCAGATGGCTCTCTCTCTCTCTCTCTCTCTCTCGTTCTGTGTGTATGTGTTGTAAGTCATTAGCACCCCATGATGTGAGACATTTCTCTGTCGGCTTCGCCATGTCTATTCTAATTGGCTGCTTCCGTAGGCCCACTCTCTCTTCTATCCCCTCTCCTTCCTCCTCCGCACTCTCCTTTCACTCTCTCTCCAGTTCAGATTACCTCACCACATACCTTTGCCACTATCCCTCAACATACACCCTTTGTCACAAACACCTACTTCAAACAATTCAACACTTAGAAGCTCAGAAGCAATGACGCCAGAAAGCAAAACGACATCACGTTGAGATCAATGACAGAACCTGCATGCAGTCACCCAGTTCAATTATTCAACAAGAGAGTGGCTCACTGGAACACTCTCAGACGCACCGGTGAGGGCAAGATTATAGCAAATGTGGCACGCAGTGCGCAAAAGTTCTTGCTGAGGAAACAAAAAATTGGAAGAGAGAGAAAACGCTGAGCGAGTTCGGAGAGAGAAAAATGCGAACGAGGAAGAGAAGAAGAGGTAGGAGAAAAGAAGAACCAGATAAGAAGGCGAACAGCATGTATGACCAGGAGAAAGGGTGCGAGAGGGTGGGAATGGACTAAGGACACAATATAGGAGGTAAACAGGACAGTGAAGACATCCTTCAGAATCGTGAAGGTGAAGATTGCAGATATAACAGGAGGGAAAAAAAAAACAATAGGAGACGGGAGAGGGCGGGGAAATAAGAGGAGCCACTGACCTTCGCATAGTAATCCTTCCATACACGCCTTGCCATTTCGTGCCCGCCTAAATCGAAGGCCTTCACCTTGATCCGACCAATGCACAGTTCTTCTGACGTCGGATACTGAGTCGGTTGGTACTGCGCCAGGCGCTGTAATACATGCCAAGATTGTCAAGCATCGCACACCGAGAGAGGAGCCACGCCCACCAAGAGGGAAGAGTCAGGCACCCGCTTAAAAACTATACACAGTACTCGCCAATAGAACGTAACTTACATCATAGTCATACTGCAATCAGACGTCTAATCTGATGTTCTTCAAAGACGGAAAAAAAAACAAGAGAAAAAAAAGAAAAGAAAAGAAAAGACTGCAACCTACATCCACACAGTACTCACCGATAGAACATAACTTACATCATCGTCATACTGCAATCAGAAGTCTAATTTGATGTCCTTTGAAAGATAGAAAACGCTGAAACCTGTACATCAGCGTCGTACTGCAGATAGGAAATGCTGCAACCTATACTAATCACAAGTGTCTTACGTCTGTTCGACGCTCGTTACATCCATTTATTCCAAATGCACCTGGTCCACAAAGAGTCCAAATGCATATTACAATGACTTCTAGTAAGACATCCATTACAACACAAATTATCCTTCCCTCGTCTTCCCTGACATTAGAATATAAGATCCTTTTTGCTTCCTATTAGTATACGCAATGTAAAACACCTTTCGCCTTCGACTAATACATCCTACGCATGCCCATTCTATCGTCGCAACATTGTCCGCCATGCTGCCGTGACTGCTGTCTTCAGCAGAACTACCCTGTCACTCGATTTCGCGAATAAATTAGATCAGTAGAAACATCACCTCAAGGAATTAGGAAAAACTCAGCCACATATACCAATAAACATATGGTGCATGACGGAGACGACTTATACATAGGGATAACGACTAGACTACAGCTAAACATAGACAGCACCTCAAGGAATTAGGGAAAACGCAGTCGCATATCACTAAACATATGGTGCAGGAATGAGAGACGCCTTATATAAAGGGATAACTAGACTATAGCTAAACATCGACAGCACCTCAAGGAAATAGGGAAAACCAGTCGCATATACCACTAAACATATGGTGCAGGAACGAGAGACGCCTTATATATAGGGATAACGACTAGAGTATAGCTAAACATCGATGGGTGAGGGAGAGGTGGTGGGATAGGAGGACGGACGAATAGAGTTGACAAAAGGACTTGTAATGTAAGTCGCCCCAGCTCCCGCCTTTCTCCTCCTACACACAACTCTCTTCAACCATTCACAATATACTTCCAACTCCTCTCACAATTCAGAATTCACACACAGCTCTTCTCACCACTTAAATTTCGCACATCTCTTTTTCACACAAGATTTCAGGGCCCCATCAATTCCTTTTCGAGTTTCAAGAATACAAACGCATATCCTGTCTTCATTCAGAATACGTACATGACTTCTAGGGGGATTTTAAATGGACGAGTCTTTCTCAGCATTCAGAATACACATGACTCTACTCACCGCTCGGAAAATACCAATACTTGTTCTCGGCATTCAGGGGGACAGCTACCTTCTTCCTCCGAATACAACATATATTCGGTGATTATAGCCGTATTTGGGGTATCTTTCAGTCTATATACAGCTCTAATAACCGGACGTTGTATTCGGGACACGAAGGTAGGTCTGCACTGATCTACCCTGTGCTGTTCAGTTAAGAGATATAGACGACTGCACAAAACTTTTTTTTTTTTTTGGAAACTTGTAGAACACTCGCACTAGGACATTTTCAACTGAGCTCTGACCATAATTGCACTCAGATACAACCAGGTCAGACTGCAATTGCAGGCAGTCAGATACATGAAGGTATGTCGTAGTGTGTGTACGCCGTTCGGCAAGCCACCTGATCACTATAATGGTGCCTGATCACTATAATGGTCGGTCAACGATAGAAGACCTCCTGAATAACTTCAGGAGGGAAGCGCCTCGCACTACTACATAACAAATGCAACAAATGCAGTGTATTATCACAGTTTCACGAAAAGGATACACCAATGGACCTACTAAATTGGTGTATATCCTGCCTGTCCATGTCAGAACAATGGAACTGCTTGTCACATCTGGCGAGCAGTGTGGAGAGAGCCCCAATGCCCCAATGTCTACAGCGAATAGAGATTGATTGACAGTTTCACAGAAACACAAAACAACAAAAAAAAAACATATGCTACTTCCGACGCGGACAGGCAATGAGCCAGAGAGAGAAACAAGACAGACAAACCAGGGAAGTGTTAAAAAAAAAAAAAAAAAATTCAGACACCTCGGATGAGGTAGGCAAAAAATCCCATCCACTGACGTTCAACAATTCCTGTAAGAATCAAGCTCAGAGAAGCCTATATGTCATACTTGCGGCGCACTGGCACTGTGCGCTGCACGGTGCGCTGTGCGCGGACCCAGGCTGCGTTCGCACCGGCGCGCGCCACGCATCTGGGTGCGCAGTGCGCTGCACAATGTATATTTCCATGTTCTAGCCGTGGATTCATTTGATTTTGCTCTCTCTCTCTCTCTCTCTCTCTCTCTCTCTCTCTCTCTCTCTCTCTCTCTCTCTTTCTCTCTCCTCCCGACTTCTTCCACCGCTTCCCACCATCCCACCTTCGGCCTTTCTCCCGCCTTCCGCCATCCACCATGGCTACTTCTCTCTCCCTCTTCCCGTCATCTCTCTCTCTGTCTCTCTCTCTCTCTCTCT